TTTACGAGGTGGCTGATTCTGAAAGATGATGAATATGTTTTCTACACTGTTCTCAACCTTTTGTTAGGATGGTTTTGAGGATTAGTAAATGTTTATAAAGGATCTCCATGTCTCTGACCAAAACAAAACATGAAACCAGCAGTGTGACTGTTCTGTCTCAATTCCATGGCATCCACGTAACTCCAGGAATGGAAGCAGAGCATGGAGAACTGTGCCCAGTGCTTTAATGCAGTACAGATGAAGAAGACTAAGAGGGTATGGAAGAACAAACAAAAAATAATAAACAACAAAGGAATGCTACAATCAGGTCATGAAACTTGGGATTAGTGGAGGATTACAGAGACACAATGGATAAGACTCCATTGGCTCATAACCTTCAGTGATTTTCATGAGTTGAGAATTTGGGCCAGAAGGAAGAATTTCTCCACTGAAAGGGTGGTCAGGCACTGGAAAGGAGGGAGCCACCATTCCTGGAAGTGCTCAAGAAACAACTGGGTGTGGCACTCAGTGCCATGGTCACATTGACAGTGTGGTGTTTGGTCAAATGTTGGAGTCAATGATCTTGGAGATCTTTTCCAAACTTAATGATTCTACAAATTTATGATTTTACAACAATCAGGGTCTATGGCATTCCCAAATGGAGCCCAAATAACAGCGAGCATGGAGCACAGAGGCAAGCTCTAGAAACACCCAGGAAATTTGAAGTGTGATATAAAGTTTCCTGCCAGCCTTTGTTCAAGCTGAAGGCAAGATAAGCTTTCCATTATTTAGTAGGATGCCACTTCCCTGGCTCCTTTACTCTAAGAAAAATATTCTTGCTAGAATCCCTGCAGGCATAAAAAGATTATCTCAGTGTTTTCTATAGAAAACCCAAATGTGCTCATAAACAATATTCTTATGGTTTCATTTTTATTCTGTTAGAGAATTTTGATGGGTGGGATAAAGCCAGGAATGACTAAAGTTTGTTTAGGTAAATATTTTCTAGATGTTTGAGTTATAAAAGTCCTTTCAAAAACAAAGTTCAATCTCTTTTACATTCTATTGCTCAGAAATAATTTTGCCTTTCCCTCATGTGTTTCATAGAGCATATTTATCTCATCACAAAAAGCCCAATACTCTTTTCATACATGATCTTTTCAATACAATTAAAATTTAAAAACATTTTCTCCTTTGCTTTCTGAAGCTTTGAAGAACTGTTTTTCTTACCTTTGGAGCAGGTATCAAAATAGATCTTATTCCTCCTGCATTCAAAGTGGCTTTGCAAATCAACAGGGATTTAATATATGCCCATCAACCATTAAAAATCTTGAAGTGAATTAGGGATTTCTCAGACTTGCTGTGGAGCTGGGCTGTGAGTTTTACTCCTCTGTGTGTTTGCAGTTGCTAAGCAATAATCCCAAAGGTTGCTATGTCTTTCCACGTTCCAAATTGCTGTAGGTTGTCTTTTGGCTTTGGCACAGCCCAACAGACTCTTCTGTACTGAACTTAGAACATGGCATCACATGACTGAAAATAAAATAAAATCAAGAAAAGACTATGAATAGCAACAGAGAAAATTAAGGGCACAAATAGAGAATCTGCAGGTGCCAGGGACAGGTTACCTTCAGATTCAAGAATTACAAAGTCCAGAACTGTCTCAAGTCCATTACCAGCTGAAGGGAGGACTGTGTTAACCAGAGGTGAGGATCTCAGACATAAAAAGAAATTAATTACAAACTCAATTTAAACATTTTCAGGCTTTCTTTCTTGTGTTGCTTTGAAGCAGCCTTGAAGGAAAGGCACACAAGCATTAACGAGGGGGGAGAGCACGGTGCCATTTTGTCAGACTGCTTTTAAACCTGAATCTAAAGGAATTTGATGAATCCCCTTTCATAATCTCTCCTATATTCTTTGAGGAATAATATGACAGGGAAAGGAGAAGGCAAAAGACAAACACATCTACAACAGGCATTCTGCACTCATTTACACGAATGTAAATCAGGTGCCTGTTCAGCATTTCCCTTGGGTTAGGCACGACTTCCAGCTGAGAAACTTATGGCAATTTCTGCCAGGAAATGAGGTTTATCTAATGCCACTTCTGTCTTTGTATTTTATACCAGAAGTGGCAAAACCTTTGGATTGCCTACCTGCAGGAAAACTGAACTGTGACTTTATCTATGGTATTTGTCATTGGAACAGCTGCAAGGTGCCCTGCCCTCTATTAGTTTCCATTTCATGGGATAGCCTGTAAGAAACCTTGAAATAGAGGAGGTCAACTTTCATGTGAAAAATACTCTGTAATAAATTAGCATTTCTTTGCTATTTATTTGGAGAAATGTATCAGAAGGAAATATGCTCATTGTAGTGCATTTCCAAGATGTGTTGAAGTCTAGCATCAATTATGTTAACAAAATGAAGCAGAAAATTAGTGCTCAGGAGTAATTTAAAATGAGGCTTTAAACTGGATTGTGCACTTTTTCCTCAAAGCAGTTTGCACATGATTAATTCCTGTTATCTCTTCTCCCAGGTGGGCTTGGTTTTTCCCCTCTGCAATTCAGAATTCTGTTGCTATTATGATTAACTTACAAAACTTCTGGAGAATGAAACATAAAATAAAAAAAATAATAATTTTTTTTCAACCCCCAAACAAGAATATACAAATAGAACTTAGAAGGACGGATCAAACCAGCTCTATTTTTATTTTTCTGGAAGTGGAATCCCGTGGGTTAAGCAAACCTTTAATTGTACCCTATCTAACTTGGCTGTTATCCCTTAATGTTTTTGCTAAGCAAAGTGTATCCTTTTATTATGCCACCAAATACTTGTTCTGTTGACAAAATAATGGGCTGAATATGTCATCACAGATGTTTTGCTGGAATTGCCTCTTCTATCTTTCTTTTTTTGTTGTTTTTCTCTGTAAGATACGTTTTGGGAGCACTCTGTTGTCTTTTGCAGCTGATGCCAAGATTATGCAATAAAAGCCCTAACATGTAGTAATAATAAGTTGTGTTAGCCAGGGACATGTTTGCAGTGTATTAAATAGCCAGTTTTGGAAATGTGTACAAAACCAGCTCATGTACAGTTCCACTTCTTTGAAATGCTACTCTGAGCTGAAGCAGCAGGTGCTGACCACAGTGCTGCCAGCACAGGAAAGAATAAGGCCACAAGCTTCCAGTCTGTTTTTTGTACCAACCCTGATGCTGTGACCACAGCCTGCCCTCTAATTACTCTTTTCAATCCCAATACATCTGCCTTATAGCTTCCTCCTCCACATTTAAAATCTGCTGCTATAAAAAAAAAATAACAAAAAAGCAAAAAAAAAAACAACAAAACATTGCACATACAAATTACACTTTCCTAGAGACTGGAGAACTGTCACAATTTGTGGTTGTTGTAGCTAATAACTGATATGTCGGACTTTTAGTGAACTGTAGATAGCAACTCCATTGTTTACCTGTGGTAAATGTTTTTTAAAAGTGTTTGCTGTTCAAATACCTGGAAGATCTACAGGGTATATGAAAATTTTACAAAAGTCTACTTTGGAACCTGGTATAAATAATAATTGCTTGATAGTAATCCCTGCATGACTTGATCAAAATCCAGAATGAAACACCAGTCTCAGGTGAGGGAACTGCTACAATACTCTGGGAACTTTAGTCTTCTATCAGTCCTCCCTATCAACTCAGACATACCTGAACATGAGCTGTGGGCCTGAAAGCAGCCCTAGATTTGCATGTTCAAGACCCTGGTCTGCTGTGCAGCCCACTCTAAACTCAGTTTAGTCCCGTTTAGGGAGCCTGTCCTCCATCCCTTGTCCTCCACCCTCACCCGTCCACCAGGAGGCAAAATGCTCCATTAGCAAGCCTGACTTCTCCACTGCAGGCAAGCCCAGCCACAGGAGCCTCCCTGACCATTCTTTTAACTGGGGAATAACCTAAAGAGAGACCATGTGGCTTCTCCAGTTCTTCAGTTTACAGGGAAAAAGTGCTGTCAACCTGAGGAACAGATCAAAGCAGCATCAGCCATGTGCTTAAATGGAATCTATGGGTAGATTCACACTCCTGACAAAAGAGTTTGCTCTGTTTAACGTTTAGAACAGTTTCTGGTTATCATATGTAATGTTGTCATTCGATGCCCAAGAGACAATTCTTGATCCTAGTCACCTCATTCCCATGAATTTTGTAGATTCTTGATCCAAATTACCTCCTTCTGATGAATTCGGTGGCACCAGGCTGAAACTGCAAAGCAAATGAAGTTTAATAGCACTTGACCCTCTGTTTCAGACCCCCAAACGCCCAAAAGTTCTGCATCTGGGAATGTTAGAATGCTTAAAATGTAATCACTAAACTCGGGTTTTGGTGTTTGGGCATGTGCATGGATGTATGAAGAGGTCTTATATGCTGCTTTCACTATGGAGTTACTATTGCTGCCTGATCCAAGGAAAAGCTCAGTTATGTGACCATTAATGCCAACTTTCACCAGGGGTTGCCATACCCACCATCACAGCTCCCAGTGGGATGGGATTCCACAAACCATCACCAGCCAGGAGGCACACTGAGGGTGCCCTGCTGACATAAATTCATAAAAGCCACTATGAGGCTGAGGGGCCCGGGGCGCTGCCAAAACCCCTTCAGCAACTGGGGGGAGAATGCCGGGGCACCTCAGCTCCCTCAGGAACGGGGTGGGGATGCCGGGGTCCCCCTGTCCATCGCAGCCCCCTCAGGAATTAGGGTGAGGATGTCGAGGCCCTCAGGCCATCGCAGCCCTCTAAGGGACCGGGGTGAGGATGTCGAGGCCCCCAGCCCACCGCAGCCCCCTCAGGGACCGGGGCTGGGAGTGCCGGGACCCCTCAAGAGCCGCCGGCGCTGCGGGGGTTAACGCGGCACGGCCGCCAGGGGGCGGCGCCGCGCGCGCGCTGACAGCCGGCGCGTGCGCGCTGGCGCCTCATTGTGCCCGGCCGGCCCGGCCCCGCCGCGCCTCAGTCGGCGAGAGGCCGCGGGCGCGCGCGGAGCTGCAGCCGCTGCCGCCCCCTGCGGCCGCCGCCGCGCCACCTCCGCTCTGCTCCCCTCCCCTGTCCCCGCCATGGAGTGAGGCCCCCGCCGGACGGCCGGACGGGGGGGCCCCGCCGCGCCTCGATGGCTCTGGTCACGGTGCAGCGCTCGCCTACCCCCAGCGCCACTTCCAGCCCCTGCGCCTCGGTGAGTCCCGGCGGGCACTGAGGGCAGCGCGGCGCTCGGCGGCCGTTGGGGTCCGGCGCGCGGTGCTGCGCATGCGCCGCACCCCCTCCGCCTCACCCCCCGGTGCCGCCGGTGCCCGGGCCCCGGGCCGGGGGCGGTGCGGGCCCGCGGTGCCCGGGAACGGGGCTCACACACCCCCGGGCTGTGGCCTGCAGACAGCCGAGGGGACGGGCGGGGGTCCCGGTGCCCCTCAGCAGGCCGGGGCTGGGGCAGGGCAGCTCCCTCCCGGCCCTCATGGTATCGCAGGGTCCCGGTCATACCCAGCCCCTCTGTGAAGGATGCGGCGGCGCGGGGCTGTTTCCATAAATCCGCCCGGTTTATTCTGTGTTCATTGTATGCGGTGGGAGAGGCGGGAAGCGTGTGTGGAAGCGACCTGACATGGTTGGGGCTCCGGCCGTGCTCCGCTGATCTCATCTGACAGCAGCCGCTGGGTATCCCCAGTGCCCGGCTCTGCCTTGGCGGGCACCTAAGGTGGCTTTCTGCCCCTTTTTTTAGAACGGTGCACGTAGTAATCTTCACAGGGCTGTGTCAAGCCCAGGAGAGACACAGAACGGCCAGATTCCAAATCCCTGAGTGAGATGTGCGGCAGGACAGATGCTCCCATCGCTGCCCTGGGTTGGGCAGGGGCTCTCAAGGCTTCTGCCTTTCCATGCTCTTTAAACTTGGGACAGGCTGTTGTTTTGTTTGTTTTGTACTTCTCTATTATAAACCCCTGCATGTTAACCCCTTAAGCTGCTCCCTGCCCCCCGTGTGCTGTTCCTGATGTAGTCAAGGATGAGAATGAAAATAGCTTTGCTTTCGCTTCTGTACGCTTGGTTCTAAGTTAGCATTTATCCTTAAAAAACCTCATGCATTATCACACTGCTGTTATGCCTGATTTGCGAATGTTTGGAGGAAGAGAATAGTTGAAATCCCAGTTGCTTCCATCCTCAGTGGGGGGAGATGAAAAAGCCAACTACTCTGAAAATATTTCTTGTTGTGTTAGGTAACCTCTTCTGAAACTAGATCAGCTGCTTGACAGGTCCTGCCTGCCCCAATGGCATTTTAGCTGTCAGAACACTTACCTCTTTTTTTCCCCCTCTTTCATTCCCATGTCTCTCCTAAGGTATGTTTACTTAGCAACACAGATTAATTTTGCTTATACTTACCTGCTATAAATATTAATGTGCTGCATTACTTCAGAGATTTCTTCCCCTTCTGACTTCTTCACCCTTTCCACTATTCCTTTTCCCATACATTTGGAGCACTGAATGCTTCTAGTGAGAATAGATAGGTCTCTCTTGGCATCTTCCTTCTTTCTCCCATTTGGATGGATCTTCCTTCTTTCTCCCACTTGGATGCATAGACCCTCCCTTTGTTAAATATTTTATATATATATGGACAATTAGTTGTATTCTCTAAAGCTTTTCCATCTGCAACAGCCAGGCTGTTTCCCAACCAATTAAATTAAATTGAAATCGTGCTGATATTTGGATACTACTTAGTTGTTAAATGTGAAAACAACTCCCTGTGCAGCCTGACAAATCCAGAGGATGCAGCCTTGGGTTTATGTGTCTATATTCTCTTTCTCCCATGACACAGTATGGAGGTGTATTCTGTACCAGAAATAAGTGTGTGGCATATTCCTGGCCTGGTTTTGGGCTTCGTAATTACCTCTGCTTTCTCAGACTTCTCTTGCAGTGTAAAGTGAACTTGATTTTCATCATGATCCTAACTGCTGCTGTTTGAACACTTCTGCATTTCCTGTTGCAGCTTCCTAACCACACTTCAGGACTGGGCTGCCCTTTTGGCCTCTTAGATATCTGGGGTGGGTTGTTTCTCCCTCCTTCTGTTAGAGCTCGTGTGTGTTCCTCCTTTGCCACAAACTTCTTGTTTCTTAATCAAAACTTTATAATTTCAGATGATTCTCTTTCCTCATCTGGTGAGGGTTGGTGAGCAGGGCAGGCACATTTTTAGTCCTTAGGAAGGCTTTGGTCCTAAGCCTGCCATGCTTGCCATTCTCTTTGGATCCGTGTCAGCTGCAGCAGGAGGACTTGACTCTTTCAGTTTTAAGTCAAATTGTTTCAACCAATCTGTAGTAAACTGATGGTAGCTTCCACTGTCTCCAGGTTACCTCTTGAAATGAAAGCTCATCTTGCTCAATAATTTTATCAGTAGGATAAGGGTCTGTCCTTGCTGTTTCTGAGCAAAGATTATCTGGTAACTGCTGGAACTTAGCTGCTTCAACTTGTGGGCAAGGGAGAAGCATGTCAGTGTGCAAGCATATGGCTATGTCTAATTCTGTTTTCAGGTCACTAAGAATTTTGAGGACAGAAATGGATTCTCTTTTTAAATTGCTTGATGTCTTTGCTTCAGAGATAAACTTCTCAGACAAGGAGAAAGGGTGAAATTAGTGTCCTCAAACTGGATTTTTTGCATTAAGTGTGCCCTATAAACTGTTATAATTGGCTCTTACAGATTCAGGGGAATAGCTGATCTGAATCACTCTGAAATTGGATGGCTTTTATTTATAGGTTTTTATCTTGTTCTCATTGCCACAGAGCATCTCATGAGCATTCATTTCAGGGTAGTTCATGCAAAGTGTTGATTATACATTTACAGCCCTCTGGTTGCTTGATGACTTGTAAAATTCCTTTAATTGTCTGTCCAGACTTTTGCTGTTTGTTTTGGCCTTTGGTTATGCAGTCACTCTTGAGAAATAAGACTGCAATCTTCAATCCTTACAGCAGAACAGTTGTCTTCTGATGTACCATGTTAGCAAAAAGTGGGGGCAGACAGGGCCATGCTACAGTAAAATACAAAGATGCCATGAGGTCCTTGGTGCTAATGCTGATGTATTGTTCAATGCAGTTCTTGGCTGATAATTACCTGTGTGTTGGAAATAATCTATTGAAACTTGACCTTTTAAAGTATTTTTGATGCACAGTTACAAAAAAATTGTAATTTCTGGGAAGTGCTGTTTTCCTTTTGTTTATTATATCTCTTTCCTGAGAAGTGAAGAAGCTGGGCAGGCAATCTGGCCTTGGCTGCCCTCACAGTTCACTTGTCTTCCCTACCCTGAGGGAGACAATATGCTTTTATTGGAAGGGACCGACTGACCCAAAAAGAGAGGATATGCTGGGTATATATTGTTCTAAAATGCACAGTTTGGGAAAAAAATGTGCTAAAGCAAATTAAAACCTAAACCATTGCACTTCCCCTCCTTAATCCCAGAAGAACAGCTTGAGCAGGAAGTAGAGTCCTGGAAATGTGTTTGGGAGTGTCTGTCATGTTGTGCTTGGAAGCTCCATGCTGGTAGAATGTACAGGAAATATTTCCCCACTTCTTTATGAGGAAGCTAAATATAACATTTCTCTGCCCCTGGTCCTGTAATTGCTGTTAAACAATGTGGTAATTGTGAGTTTACTTAATCATTGATAAGTCCAGTCTATCTCACATAGAACTCATTTTTCTTTTTCCTTTTTTAAAATAAATAAATTTAGATCTTGATTGCTGCTGCATGGATAAGGTTATGGAGAGTTGATTTTTGGAGGAACTACAATGTAGCTGGGCAATCAGAAGCTTCTTATGAAATATTTAGTCAAGTTAGGAATGCCTAATATTTGAAGATGCTCTGATCAGTAAAGATCATCTATTGTTTCTTGGTTTTCTCTAGCTAATGTCTTTCAGGTATAGCCAGAGCTCATTCTGAAAACTGAAGTTTTTGGAGGCAGTGGCCCAGAAGAATGAGCTGACTCCTGCTTTAGGCAAACCTTGTAGTGCCCCACAGGTACCTCTGGTGCCAGCAGTCACCATTTGGGAGATAAAACTGTTTCAGTGATCTGATCTGTAGCTTCCTTTTAAATTTCTGCTGAAAGCCCTGTGAGGGAACCAGGAGGCCTCCACCTCTTGCCGGGTGTGATGCTGTGTTGGTAAAAGATGATTTCTCTCCAGCTGGACAAGACCAGGCTGTTGGAGCACAGATACTTTTTGTGTGTGTAAATGCATTCATGTGTGATGAGACTCTCCTGTTCCTAAAGCAGTTTGAGGGTTAAACTGTAGAAATATCTGCTGCCTCTTGTATGCACACTTAGCAGGTTTCCTCTAGGATCTGCATGAAATGCAGTGTCCCCTTAGAGGTGAGAACAGTATTTGCAGCTGAGAAGGAGGATGATGACAGTGGAATTGGAGCCTCACTGAGACCCACAGAGAAACGTTCTTAAAACTTGCAGAGTGCATGAAAAAATCTTCATCTTTAAGAGAGCTAACTCCTTTTGTAGCATATCTCTATGATAGCTTGATTTCAGTTTTCACCTCTTTAGTTCCAGTGGCACATAAATTCTTGTGTTTTGAAAAGGAGCTTGTAATTTGAAAATGCAAATAGTTTGTGATGCTGTAGTCATTATCTGACCAGTATTGATTCTTGCTGTTTAAGAAATAAAAATAAGTTGAAAAGGGCAGGGTACAGTAGCATCTACAGTCATTCTGGGAGCCAATGACATGTTTATTTAAGTGGAAAATACTATTTTGAGCAGAGACTGCCATCCACAAAGCAGTCTGCTGGAAATATTTTAGTGTAAGAGAGCTGCCTTTATGCAGGGGTAATGCCTGAGGATTTCCATTTACTGGAAAAAATCCTGAAAGATCTAAAGCTGCAACTCTTCTGTCTTGGGAAATGAACAAAAAAAAAGAAAAAGGAATAGCCTTTGGGCAGCTTAGCTCAGTGAAGCTGCTCCCTGATCACAGCCTGCAGCTCAAGGTTTCATTCTTCAGTCACAACAAGCCACATCCTCCCAGGACCAGCTGAAGCGAGGGGCAGGCTTTGCAGTCTTCACGTCTGACTCTTGCTGATGCCATTAGCAAGAAGTAAAAATGGAGCTGCTGGTTTGTGACCAGTGCTGCCTTCATATGAACTGGCCCTGCCACTCAAGAGCACTTAGGCTGGTCACCTGCCTGCTCCAGGTGTTCCAGTTGTTTAGTTC